TGTCTGTTTGCCATCTGTATGTCTTCTTTGGAAAAATGTCTCTTTGGGTCTTCTGACCACTTTTTAATGGGGTTGTTTTTTTTGATGTTGAGTTTTATGAGTTCTTTGTATATTTTGGATATTAACCCCTTATCAGATATATCATTTACAAATATCTTCTCCAGTGCAGTAGGTAGCCTTTTTGTTTTGTTGATAGTTTCTTTCACTGTGCAAAAGCTTTTTAGTTTGATGTAATTCCATTTTTTGCTCATGTTTCCCTTGCCTATTATCATACTAAGTAAAGTAAGCCAGACAGTGAAATACAAATATCATATGATATCAATTCTATGTGGCATCTAAAAGAAAAAAAGACACAAATGATCTTATTTCCAAACAGAAAGAGACTCATAGACACAGAAAACAAACTTATGGCTGCCAAATAGGAGAGAGGGTGGGAGAAGGGTTATATTTGGAGGCTGGCATTAACATATACACACTACTATGTATAAAATAGATAGCCAACAAGGACCTACTGTATAGTACAGGGAACTATACTCAATAGTATGTAATAATCTATAAGGGAAAAGAATCTGAAAAAGAGTATATATATATATATAGATATTGATGCAATTTATGTCAAAGAGTGTTCTGCCTATGTTTTCCTCTAAGAGTTTTATAGGATCTGGCTCTTACATTTACATCTTTAATCAATTTTGAGTTTAGTTTTGTGTATCATGTTAGAGAATGCTCTAATTTCATTCTTTTACATGTAGCTTTTTCAGCAGTTCAGTTTTCCCAGCACCACTTATTGAGGACTGTCTTTTCTCCATTGTATTCTTGCCTCCTTTGTCATAGGTTAATTGACCATAGGTGAGTCGGTTTATTTCTGGGCTTTTTATCCTGTTTCAGTGATCTATATCTCTGTTTTTGAGCCAGTACCATATTGTCTTGATTACTGTAGCTTTGTACTATAGTCTTAAGCCAGGGAGCCTGATTCCTCCAACTGTTTTTCTTTCTCAAGATTGGTTTCACTATTTGAGGTCTTTCATGTTTCCATACAAATTTTAAAATTTTTGCTTCTAGTTCTGTGAAAAATGCCTTTGATAATTTGATAAGGATTGAATTGAGTTTGTAAACTGCCTTGGGTAGTATGGTCATTTTGACAGTATTGATTCTTCCAATTCAAGAACATGGTATATCTTTCTAGCTGTTTATGTCTCCTTCGATTTCTTTCATCAGCATCTTATAGTTTTTGGAGTACAGGTCTTTTGCCTCATTAGGTAGGTTTATTCCTAAGTATTTTATACTTTTTGATGCGATGGTAAATGGGATTTTCTTAATTTTTCTTTCTGATCTTTCATTATTAGTTTATAGGATTGCACCAGATTTCTGTGTATTAATTTCTTTTTCTGCAACTTTACTGAATTCATTGATGAGCTCTAGTAGTTTTCTGGTAGCATCTTTAGGATTTTCAATGTATAGTTTCATGTCATCTGCAAACAGTGACAGTTTTACTACTTTTCCAATTTGTATTCCTTTTATTTATTTTTCTTCTCTGATTGCTGTGGCTAGGACTTTCAAAACTATGTTGAATAAAAATGATGAGAGTGGACATCCTTGTCTTTTTCTTGATCTTAGAGGAAATGCTTTCATTTTTTCACCATTGAGTATGATGTTAGCTGTAGGTTTGTGGTATATGGTCTTTATTATATTGAGGTAGGTTCCCTCTGTGCCCACATTCTGGAGGGTTTTTTTCAGAAATAGGTGTTGAATTTTGTCAAAAGCTTTTTCTGCATCTATTGAGATGATCATATGGTTTTTATTCTTCAATTTGTTAATGTGGTACATCACACTGATTGATTTGCAGATATTAAAAAGTCCTTGCATCCTTGGGATAAATCCCTCTTGATCATGGTGTATGATCCTTTTAATGTATTACTGGGTTTGGTTTGCTGGTATTTGTTAAGGATTTTTATGTCTATGTTCATCAGTGATATTGACCTGTAATTTTCTCTTTTTGATGGTAGCTTTGTCTGGATTTGGTATCAGGGTGATGGTGGCCACATAGAATGAATTTGGGAGTGTTCCTTCCTCTGCAATTTTTTGAAATAGTTTTAGAACGTTAGGTGTTAGCTCTTCTCTAAATGTTTGATAGAATTCACCTGTGAAGCCATCTGTTCCATGACTTTTGTTTGTTGGGAGTTTTTAATCACAGATTCAATTTCAATACATACAATTGGTCTAGTCATATTTTCTATTTCTTACTGGTTCAGTCTTGGGAGATTGTACCATTCTAAGAATTTGCCCATTTCTTCTAGGTTGTCCTTTTCATTGGTGTATAGTTGCTTGTAGTAGTCTCTTATGATCCTTTGAATTTCTGTGGTGTCAGTTGTAATTTCTCCTTTTCATTTCTGATTTTATTGATTTGGGCCCTCTCCCTTTTTTTCTCGATGACTCTGGCTAAAGTGTTATCAATTTTGTTTATCTTTTCAACTCTTAGTTTATTGGTCTTTGCTATTTTTTTCTTTGTCTCTATTTCATTTATTTCTGCTCTGATCTTTATGATTTCTTTCCTTCTGCTAACTTTGGGTTTTATGTGTTCTTCTTTCTCTAGTTGCTTTAGGTGTAAGGTTAAGTTGTTTGTTTGAGATTTTTCTTGTTTCCTGAAGTAAGCTTGTATCACTATAAACTTCCATCTAAGAACTGCTTTTGCCACATCCCATAGGTTTTTGGATTGTTGTGTTTTCATTTTCATTTGTCTCTAGGTATTCTTTTTATTTCCTCTTTGATTTCTTCAGTGATCCATCAGTTGTTTCATAGCATATTGTTTAGCCTCTATGTGTTTGTGTTTTTGCATTTTTTCTTGTAACTGATTTCTAATCTCATAGTGTAGTGATCGGAAAAGATGCTTAATATGATTTTAGTTTTCTTAAGTTTACCAAGACTTCCTTTGTGGCCCAGCATGCGATCTGTTCTGGAGAATGTTCCATGTACACTTGAAAAAAAGGTGTATTCTTCTGCTTTTGGATGGAGCACTCTATAAATATCAATTAAGTCCATGTGTTCTAATGTGTCATTTAAGGCCTGAGTTTCCTTATTGATTTCCTGTCTCGATGATCTGTCCATTGATATACAAAGGAAGTGGAGTGCTAAAGTCCCCCTCTACTATTGTATTGCTGTCGATTTCTCCTTTATGTCTTTTAACATTTGCCTTATATATTGAGGTGTTTCTCTGTTGAGTGCATATATATTTATAATTGTTATATCTTCTTCAATTGAGCCCTTGATCATTATGTAGTGTCATTTGTCTATTGTAACAGTCTTTATTTTAAATTCTATTTTGTCTGATATGAGTATTGCTACTCCAGCTTTCTTTTGATTTCTATTTGCATGGAATATCTTTTTCCATCCCCTCACTTTCAGTCTGTTTGTGTCTCTAGATCTGAAGTGGGTCTCTTATAGACAACATATATATGGGTCTTATTTTTGTATTCATTCAGCCAGTCTATTTCTTTTGGTTTGAGCATTTAATCCGTTTACAGTTAAGTTAATTATTGATATGTATGTTCTTATTGCCATTTAAAAAAATATTTTGGATTTGTTTTTGTAGGTCTTTTTTATTCCTTTTCTCTTTTGTTCCCCTCTCTGTGATTTATGATTATATTGTTGTGTTTGGATTCTTTTTCTTTTTTGTGTGTATATCTATTATAGATTTTTCATTTGTGGTTACCATGTGGTTTTGATATAGCAGTCGATATGTATACATGGTTGTTTTAAGTTGCTGGTCTCTTAATTTCAAATGCATCTCAAATATCCTGCATTTTTGCTCTCCTCCTCTCACAATTACTGTTTTGATATCATGTTTGTGTGTAGATGATTTCCTACCCTTACTGTATGTTTGACTGTACTGGTGAGCTTTACCATTTTGTAATTTTCCTGTTTCCTGTTGCCTCTTCTATTGAAAGAGTTCCTTTAGCATTTGTTGTAATGCTCGTTTGGTGGTGCTGAATTCTTCTAGCTTTTGTTTGTCTGTAAAGCTTTTGATTTCTCCATCAATTCTGAATGAGAGACATGCTGGGTGGAGTATTATTGGTTGTAGGTTTTTCCCTTTCATCACTTTAAATGTATCGTGCCACTCCCTTCTGGCCTGTAGAGTTTCTGCTGAAAAATCAGCTGATAGTCTCATGGGGATTCCCTTGTATGTTATTTGTTGCTTTTCCTTTGTTGCTTTGGATATTTCCTCCTTGTCTTTAGTTTTTGTCAGTTTGATTACTATGTGTCTTGGCGTGTTCCTTCTTCAATTAATTCTATATGGGACTCTGCACTTCCTGGACTTGGGTGACTGTTTTGGGAAGGAATTACTTTTGGTACTTGAATAAAAAGCAGGTAATGGAGTGTCACCTCTGAGATATTCTGATTCACAGGGTTTGGGATATGTTAGAAAATTTGGCTCCATTTTAATGCCAAATTGAATGTTACACTTGTGCTTACCTTACATTTTTCCATATAGCCGCCATAATACAAATAGATAATTTTTGTATAGAATTGTTTCCTTAAAAATTTTTTTTATTGAAATATAATTGATTTAAAATGGTGTGTTAGTTTCAGGTGTACAGCAAAGTGATTCAGATATATATATATATATATATTCTTTTTAGATTCATTTCCATTATAGGTTATTACAAGATATTGAATATAATTCCTGTACTATACAGCAGGTCCTTGTTGGTTATATATTTTATATATAGTAGTGTGTATATTTTAATCCCAAACTCCTAATTTATCCATTCCCCCTTTCTCCTTTGGTAACCATAAGTTTGTTTTCTATGTCTGTGAGTTATAGAATTATTCTTATCTTGTTAGATTTAAGTCTCATAAATGGAGTCTATTATTCCTTACTGTGTTAATGAGTTCCTAGTCATCTAGATTTGACTAGGAAGAAAGCTGAATGATGGCAATTTATGGTTAATGAGCATTTCTCAAATACTAATGTTGTGTACATTTCTTGTTTTCTTATGTAGGCCAGCTGTTGAGGCCTGGTGAAAAAAAATCAGGTGCAATAATGTTGTGCAGTAAAAAGAAATCACTTGGTAAGTATTGAGTTCTTTAGGCGACACAAAGCAAATATGATTTTTTAATATTTATTTTAATTTCACAGAGGTGTAATTTATAAACAAAAATCACACAGTCCTTAAGTGTTCCATTTGATGAACTTTAAAGGCTGTATGTAAATGTGTAATTACCACCAAAAAGCAAGAGTTAGAACGTTTCTATTACCTGAGAAAGTTCCCTTGTGCCCCTTTTTATTCATTCTCCCTGTGTTCTACACAATCACCTTCTGATTTCTAACAGATTGGTTTTGCCTGTTTTTGAAATCGATATAAATGAAATCATACAGCATGTATTCTTGTGTCTTGCTTCTTTCACTCAGCATAAGGTTTTTTTGACATATATCCATATGGTTGTATATATCAGTAGTTTGTTCCTCTTCATTTTTTCTTTTAAAACAGTATTCCATTGTATGAATACACCAACACTTAAGACTAAGTTCATATGTTTAGAAATAATTTGGATTCATGATGGCAAGTAACACACTTTGTTTTTGGTTGAGTAATTGGTCTAGCTGAACAGTGTTAATAGTATTCCAATTTTTTAAAATACAGCATCCTGACCAGAGAGTATTAATCTTGTCTTATGTCTTGTTAGTCAGCAACAGAGTATTGTGTAGTTTTTCCTTCAATGGAAATGTATTCAGTTTATTACTGCTATTTTCTTTATTATTTTTAAAACTTTAATTAATTATTTTTTTTATGGCTGCATTGGGTCTTAGTTGTGGCACATGGGATCTTCATTGAGGCATGCGGGATCTTTTGTTGTAGTGCGTGGGCTCTTCGTTGAGGTGTGCAGGCTTCTCTCTAGTTGTGGCATGCGGGTTTTCTCTTCTCTAGTTATGGCATGCAGGCTCCAGGGTGCAGGGGCTCTGTAGCTGGCAACATGTGGGCTCTCTAGTTGAGGCGTGCAAGCTCAGTAGTTGTGGCAAGTGGGCTTAGTTGCCTCACAGCATGTGGGATCTTAGTTCCCCGACCAGGGATCGAACCCGCATCACCTGCATTGGAAGGCAAATTCTTTACCACTGGACCATCAGGGAAGTCCCCATTTTCTTTATTTTTGACTATGGACTTGTTAGAGACCAAAGGCTGGATTAGAGTATATCTAATACCCTATCTCTCCTTCTAATCATCTCTGACAGGTGCTTAAGCTGTTTTGATAGGCAATTATTTCATGGTTCAGTCTGTTCCCTTGTTGGGCACATTCATTGCAATGTTCAGTCTCATAATGAGCTGAAATCTGTCTCAATGTAGTTCGCACCCATAGGTCATTAGTTATGCCCTCTGGGGCAATACTTTCATATTCCCAGTGCCAATTTAAGAGTCTAGAATTATTGTCATCATGTTTTTCTTTTTCAAATAAAATGATTTATTTATATCCAGTCACTGGTATAATCTTAATAGTGTAAACAATAGAGTAACCAGTTTTGACAGGGACAAGTTTCCAACAGAATATATTGTTGCAAGGTTTGGATAAGTTCATTCTCACTCTTTTAAAATAATTTGTACATATATGTGAATGTATATGTATAAAATAAGCAATTTTTTATAAATAAAAATAAGAAAATAGAAGTGACTGTAATTGGACAATCCAGAGATAAACACTCCAGACTGCCAAGCTGCACAATTTAGAGGGCTCCAATTCAGTGACCTCTATTAATACATTAATGTATATTCATCCATATATTCCCAAACAACTATGGTGTGCATTACTTTGAACCTGCTCTTAAAACATAATATTGTAATCATAGATACCTTTTCTGTCTTTAAACCTTTCTCTATAACATTATTGTTTTTTACATTTTCCTCTAACTTTTAATTTTGAAAATATTGGATTTTACAAAAAAATTAAAACACCCAAATACCTTTCACCTAAATTCTACAATTATTACCATTTTGCCACATTTGCCTCCTCTCCTCCCCCTCACTGCCACCAGCACACACCCACACACATGCACACACATACACTTTTTGTTGTCATTAGGATATTTGAAAGTGAGTTGTAGACATCATGACTCTTACCACCAAATATTTTTTTAAACATCTTTATTGGAGTATAATTGCTTTACAATGTTGTGTTAGTTTCTGCTGTATAACAAAGTGAATCAGCTATATGTATACATATATTCCCATATCCCCTTCCTCTTGCATCTCCCTCCCACCCTCCCTATTCCACCCCAAATATTTCAGTACAGATCTCCTAAGAACAAGGACATTCTCCTACTTAACTACAACATCATCACTACACCTAAGAAATGTAACATTGATGAATAAGTAACATACCATATAAGTACCATATAATGTTACTTACCAATAAGTAACATTCCATTTTTCAGTTTTCTCAATTGTCTCCATGTCTCATGTCTCAGAGCTTGTTTTTATTTTTGGTACAATATTTAACCAATGTTCACACATTGTGTTTGGCTTTTAATCCCTTTATTTTCTTTTAGATTTAGAATAGTTTTTCATTATATTGAATTTTGGAAAAGTCCAGTCCAGCACCTAAATCTATTTGGATTGAATATTTTGGACACAAATACTATATAGATTATATATAAATATTTATAAATTTTATTTATTTATTTTTGGCTGCATTGGGTCTTCATTGCTGTGCACTGGCTTTCTCTAGTTGCGGTGAGCGGGGGCTACTCTTTTTGCGGTGTGCAGGCTTCCATTGTGGTGGCTTCTCTTGTTGCTAGCATGGGCCCTAGGCACATGGGCTTCAGTAGCTGTGGCATGCAGGCTCAGTAGTTGTGGCGCATGGGCTTAGTTGCTCCATGGCATGTGGGATTTTCCTGGACCAGGGCTTGAACCCATGTCCCCTGCATTGGCAGGGAGATTCTTAACCATAGCGCCACCAGGGAAGCCCAATACTTGTTTTTTTAAATGGACAATTAGTAAATTAGTTACTTGAAACTGTTTTGATGGGGAATGCAACTTGCTGATCTTCCTCATATAGAATTTCATTTTACAGTCAGTCATAGGTATTTGTAATGAGCTGTAAATAGCTCATTTGTAAATAGCTGTGTAATGAGGCTAAATGTTTTGGCTACATAGCTGGGTCTGTATCCACTGTGGTGCTGATTGGCAGAGAAAGCTGAAGTCAGTTCCTTCCTCTTGGACTTGTTAGAATGGCCAAATGACTTGAGGGACTGACATTGGTGTCACCATCATTTATATCATCGTGATTGGGAATGAGGCATCTTTAGGTTATATCACTTCCTATAGATCTGGTTATAGACTGGAGACCTTTTTCAATCTAAAATATTCATTTACTTATTCAGTTAGTCAGCAAATATTTTTGAGTGCCTGTGATATGCTAGGTAGTACCAACTTTTCTTGACTTCACGTAGCTTTTTATGATTCAATAAAACACATGTATCCTCACACAAATAAGTTTACAGTAACTATGATAACTTAATAACAGTTTACTAAACGTTGCTACCAGTATATTTTCCAGAGAAGCACAGACTAAAGAACTTCTAATCAGCCTGGGGTTGTCAGGGGGAATATCATGCAGAAGTGATATTTTACCTCAATGAGTTATTTAATATCTGCAACATTTAAGAAAGGTGCACTTAACATTTATATAAACTTCTACAACATTATCAGGAAGCTTGGGACATTGATGATGTATGTCAGAATTTAACAAGCCAACCATGAGTGTTGTGGGAAAACAAAAATTTTCTCCTAGATATATGCTTTATTATTTATTATCTCCATATTCACGTAAATCCCACATTCTGCAAGATGTGAAAAATTCTAATTGACTCAAATATTTAAAACATGCTTACAATCTATTTTCTATTTGTTATTTGTAATTCACCCTTTCTGTATAAGCTCAAATGGGAGGTCCAGAGACAATTACTTTAAAGCGTATATGTGCTTTTCTACAAAACAATCAGGAAGAGCATTGTTCCTGTGTAAAATACCTAATTCAGATTTTAGGTTCTTTGGTAATATGGAAAGCAAAAAAAACAGATAATTTGAGGCTTTCTTTAAGCTAGCTAAAGCTGTTCTTGGTTCCAAAATGTGAGGGTTGTGGAGCAACTTGCATTACTCCACAGTGAAGCCCTTAGCATGCTCATGGGGTATGGGATGGGAAGAATCAGACCAAGGTCACATATGTCTTTCATGGGGCCTTCATGGGCCCCTTCCTCCAAAAAATATTAAAAATAATGTTTTACAATTGTGTGGGTATAAAGACAAATATAAGCCAGGTTGGATTCATTATTATGTAACCATTATTATTATATTCTTTTTTTTCTTCTAACTTAAAAGCAATTTTATTGGAGTATAGTTGATTTACAATGTTGTGTTAGTTTCAGGTGTACAACAAAGTGAATCAGTTATATATATATACATATGTCCACTCTTTCTTTTTTTTTTAATTCTTTTCCCATATAGGTCATTACAGAGTATTGAGTAGAGTTCCCTGTATTATACAGCAGGTTCTTATTAGTTATCTAATTTATATATAGTAGTAAGTATATGTCAATCCCAATCTCCCAGCTTATCCCTCCCCCCCCACCCCTTATCCCCTCATAACCATAAGTTTGTTTTCTATATCCACGACTCTACTTTGGTTTCGTAAATAAGTTCATTTGTACACTTTTTATTTACATTCCACATATAAGGGATATCATATGATATTTGTCTTTCTGTGTCTGACTTACTTCACTCAGTATGACAATTGCTGGGTCGATCCATGTTGCTGCAGATGGCATTATAGTTTGTTCTTTTTTATGGCTGAGTAATATCTGCTGGAATGAGTTTAAACTTTAGCTATGACACATACACAAATATAAATCTATCTTGAACTACCTCATTACAGTGAATAATAAAATAATAAAACTCAGAATAGCAGTCTATGTCATACATATTTATTGTGCTTAGAACATATTTCCAAATACATAGCTCCAATTCTTTATTATTTAGGATTCCCAAATGTATAATATTAATTGTCATACTTTGGTTTTATA